GAAATAAAAATACATATAAATTATTTTATCCGACCTAACTTTTCGAGGTAGTTACAGATAAGATGTGTAATAGGATGTTACGAATAAGTTTATCCTTTTATTAAAATATTGAAAAAAAATGTTGTGAAATATTTTTTTTTAAATATATTATTATGAAAAACGTTTCGCACCATTTTTTATTAAAATATTGAAAAAAAACGTTGCAAAACGTTTTTTTAATATATTATAATACAAAAACGTTTTGCAACGTTTTTTGTATGATAACTTACAAGCCAGCTTGAGCCTTTTGAGCTGAGCTTATTATCAGCTTAAGCTTTTTAAGCTGAGCCTATTATCGGCTTGAGCTTTTTGAGCCAAGCCTATTACCAGCTCGAGCTCTTTTCGAGCTGGCTCACAAACCACTAAGCCAATTTAATTATGACTCAGTTCAGTTCAGCTTGAAAAGCTTGAACCAGCTCACAAGCTGGCTCGGCTCATGCAGAGCTTTATGTATAAGTTTAACTGAAGTCATGTAACTTTTAACTTAGAAAAAATTTTTTCAAATTTTTTACTACATCACAAAGATCGACATGAACCAATAGGATTCATTACCGCATACACATGCTGCAGTTTTTTTTGGCATTTTGGATTTTCATTTATTTGTTCCATTTTTATGCCATTTTAATTATTAATTTTAATTGCTAATTTTTAATTCATTTTACCTTATTAGTTTAATAAGGCTAGATGAAACTTTGATGAAACAAATTCCTCTGATTTCATCTCTTTTTTAATTTAATTTTTTATTATTTTTGATTAAAAAAGAATATAAGGAGTTTATTGATTACTAATTGGCGTTACAACTGCTGTAATCAATAATTAGGAAAGTTGTATTAATGTGCTGCTCCTTTATTACGCATAAGGAGCTGGATGAAAAAGTTATTTAAGAGGAATTAAAATGGCGTGCAGACACTTACTTAGTTTAAATACTTTTATTTGTTGGTAGATATTGTTTGATGAACTTTTATTATAACTTTTTTCATACCAGAAAACCGTAACTTTAACCCTAACCCTAAATTTTATTTTAATCATTTAACTAATATAATAGAACCCAAATAATACTAATATAACTCACAAATAAACTTTAAATACTAAAGTAAAAATGCATTTTATGATATAATTCTGTCGATATTGAAGCTAGAAATTCAATTTTACTATCATTAGAATCCTCCCATCAAAACAAATCTAATGATATAAATTTTATTAAAATCAAATCACTGGTTATGTTAAAAACAGAGGTATGTATGATAATAAAATTTTGAAAACACATCTGTAATATGCAACTTTTGAAAAATTTTAATATAAATTCTACACAAACTCAAATGTAAATTGTATCAGTATTATTTAGGATCCTAGTATGATTATATAATAAAATATAATTATAATAGAAATAACTATAAAAAGAATTAACTGTAATTATTTTAAAATATTAATAATTTATAAATTATTAACAGTTAATATAATATTTTATTTTTTATTTAATAAAATGATTGATTTTAAAAAATAAAACTAATTATAAATAAAAGAAATTTAAAAATAAAAATAAAGAATTAATTTATTTATTTGAAAATTTCAAAGTTTACACAGGGTGTTTGAACACGGATCATATGAAATATAATGACACCAATGTCACACCATTTTACTTTTTTTATGCAATATATGTAAGGTTGCTTGCCGAAACCTAGGGGTTTAGGCAAGATGGCATTTCGCCGAAAAGTGAAATTCTGCTGAAACTACATTAAAGTTATATTAAAAAACTGGCAAAACTTTGGAGAAAGGCAAAACTGCTGAAACTTATTATAAATGCCGAAACTGCTGAAACTCTGCCGAAACTATAATAAATCTATAGTAAAATTTTGACGAAACTAATCATAGGATTTTGAAGAGATTTAAACAAGCAATCTTAAATATATATATTTTTGACTACTCTGCAAGTTTACTTAAGGCATTAAAGGGGGTTTTGAATGCTGTTTTTGACTAATATATGAAAAACTGTCTTTGCTGATCATTTCCTAAATTTTTTTAAGAGCGATCGGCAAAATCAATTATTCATAGGTAAAGTCAAAACTGACATTCAAAAGCACCTTTGATTCCTTAGATAAACTTGTAGAGCAGGCAAAAATCCATTTATCTACTAATTTTGAAGTTTATACTATTAGTCAAAATGGCAATAATCACATGACCTGAGTTCAAATACCCCGTGTACAAATAGAAATTGCCTATTTGTTTTATATATTAATTTTGAAATTAAATATAAATACTAATGCATAACAAAAATCTCTATTAATAAAAGTATTTTTAGAACCTTTTTTATATAAAAATTTTCTAAAAATTTAAATAATATTAGCAATCTTTCTAACCTAAAATTTTTTTTCTTCTATTTACTTATAATTAATTTAAGAAATTTGAGAAATTAAATTAATAGATTTTTAAATTGATCTTGCTGAAATTTTGATTCTTGAATATTAGCTTTTAATTGAATTAATTGAGCTTGCAAATCATTTTTTTCCATTTGGTAAGAACTTTGATCATTAGTTTCAATAATCTTTTCTAATTTAAAAAGCTCTTGTTTTAATTTAAGAAATAAAATTTCATTTAAATTTATACTAGTAAAATCAAGTAAACGACTTGTATAGTATGCTTGTGGATGAAATTTTACAGTATGATTAATGTAATTATTATTAGATGCATTTATAAATTCCATAATATTGCTTCTTAATTCTTCATTAATATCTTCAATTTTCTTTTCTAAAGGAAAAGAAATCCAATTTTTAATAATATTTAAAATTGTTGATGCAGATGGTCTTTTTAATGGATCTTCATTCCAACATTTTTCCATTAAATTTATATAACATTGTGGAGTATTTTTAATAATTTCAGGACGTTCACCTTTACAAATATTTAAAGCAAGTTGAAGATTATGTGCTTTATCATTAAATGGTGGAATTCCAGATGTAAATTCCCACATAATCATAGAAAAACTATATATATTACTAGCTTGAGTATAAGGTTGACCTTTTAAAATTTCAGGTGCCATAAATGGTATAACACCATAAATATTATTTTTTTTAAAAAAAAATTTTGTAAGTTGGTGTAATTCCAAATAATCACTAATATAAATTCCATATATATTTTCTTTATATTCATTACATAAAATATTGCCATCATGAAAGTTATAATGAATAAGATTTTTTTTATGAATATCATTAAGACCATCAATAATTTTATATAAATTAAATAATTTTTGTTTCCAAGTATTTGTTATTTCTGTCAAACATTTTCTTAAATTACCTTTATCTATATATTCCATTATTAATATATAATTCAAAGTATCTGGATTTTTTGTAAATCCATATATCTTAATAATTTTATTTGAATCAATAATTTTCCACTATAAAAAAAATAATATTTAGTAAATTAATATAAATAAATAATAATTAACATAAAAAAAAAAATACTTAATCATACTTCATTTAAAAATTCATTTAAACATTCATCTGAATTATTAAGATGATTAAAATCTTTAAGAATTACTTTAATCCTTTTATATTTAGCTTTATATATAGTACCAAATCCTTCTTTATCAGAATATTTATTAATATTTTCAAATTTATCATAAGAAATCCATTTTAATTTATTTTTAAAAATAAATTGATCCATTATTTTACTTCCACTATTACCAAATCTTTAAATATAAAAAATAAAATTATATTTAAATTTAAAATATAATTTACAATTAAAAATTTAATATTGAATAATATAAATTATACTTACTCTAAATAAAATTATAAAATTTTAATACAATAATATTTAATTTTTATATAAATTTTATTATATATAATAATTTATAACTTACCAACTAAAATAAAATTTAAAAAGATTATAAGTAAGTATAATATAATTATAATAAATTAATTATATTAAATTAAAAAAATATAATATATACTTACAAGCTAAAATATTTTAATAAAGAATTTAATTAGTTTAAATTATATGTAAACATTATATAAATATAATAAAATTAAATAAATAACTTACTTTCTATGTTATTAAATAAATAATTTTTTAAATAAAAAATTTAGTTAATTTAAATTATATATAAATATTATAAAATTAAATAAATAACTTACTTCCTATATTATTAAATAAATAATTTTTTAATAAAGAATTTAATTAGTTTAAATTATACTGTATATAAATATTATATAAATATAATAGAAATTTACCATCTAAAATATTTGAATAATTTTTTAAATAAAGAATTTAATTAGTTTAAATTATATGAAAATATTATATAAATATAATAGAATTAAATAAA